AGGTCCTGGGTTCGAATCCCGGGCAAGACATGGATGTTTCTTTCTCTCTCTGCGTGTTTTATGTCCTTTCTCCTTTGTGTGTGAATGTGACCCGCCCGATAAACGGGTTGTGGTTGTGTGAATAGCGTGGCAGAAGTCGAATTCCTGGCCATAGATGACGCCACTGAATAACAGGAACAATCGCACTCTCACTGCTTAAACAGGCATACGACAAAAATAAAATCAGGACGTTTTTCTTCATCCTTTGCCAAAATACCATTTGTCATTCTATAGAATACCTAGGTATTATATACAATGCCTAGGGAAAGTATGTAATACTTCTCATATTTCTAACCTTGCTTAAGAAAATCCGGCATTATATACAACCTATTGCTACTTATTTTATAATGCCATATTTTTTTTCAGCTTTTCATTAAAACTATTCTCTTTTACCATCACAAGAGCATCCTACAAGTTCTTCAAAGAGTAAAAAAATAAAAATAAAAAATTTATTTTTGTTATATTGTAAGCATTTTTTTCCAACTGAATAAGGAAAATGCAGAAAATTATAATCAAAAATATTAAAAAAAACAACCCGAGCTTAGTTTTAATCAGATATGCACTTACCATAAAAATTTTCTTTGTGTTTTTAAATTATTTTGAACTAGCATATGCCAAAATTCGAAGTTTTGTATATAGTCTTTGATCTGATGAATTATTTAAATACAGACAAGAAATTTTTTATTCAAGAACTGTTTTAAACGTTCCTGAAACTAGAGACCCACACAAAACTTTGATAAAGCATACTTTTCTGAAACTTACTCTAGACGAATTTTTTAAAAATGATGCTGGTCACAATCCCACCTGACCCTAATACTCGGTCATATTTTATAATTTTGCCGCCTATTTAAACAGTAAAAAAATCTACCATTTGCAATGGTAGAAAAAGTTTTGTTTTTACCTTTAAATTTAAGAGAAGATATGAAGATTCGAAATATTTTATAAATATTGTTATTTTTGTATTCCCTCAGCAAATATCGACATTCAGTATGCATTGATGGTGTAAACTGAATAAAATATTTTTGTTAAATATCTCACGTACACCACCAGATGTCTCTTGGTCTTAAATGCGAAAAATGTTTAAATAATATTCAGAACATTGCCGAAAGAAAGTATATGAATGTTGTCATTGATAGGAGAATATATAAATCACTGACATAGTATGAATTACGTCATCATCGTGATTCAGATAACAACATTCATAGACTTACTCCTACATTAAAATGCGCAATAACGTTTTCGGATTGCACCATTCTCTTACTACTCCAGCAAAGATTGTTTTAACTACCTTCCCAGTGTTAACAGCTGGCAGGGAATGAAAATAGTAGCTGTCAATAAAATTTCTCTCAATGCAAACTGCGTCGAAGACTTTCTTTTCATTTTTTTTTTCTCTTCTGAAAAATCTGGATCACAAAAAAGCACTGCTCTGGTTGATAGAATAACAAAAACAGGTGAAATAGGAAAAACATCCAACGAAAGGTTTTTAAAATTTTGTTAAAGATTTCCCTTCTAGAAGAATCTGAAGATGTCTTGAAGAAAGAATCTGAAGCATCGATAATGAAAGTTAACAAATATCGCTGATTTTTCGAGATAAATTAGAATTTTTACGTTTAATGTGGCAGCAGACGTATCTGTATGCTCTAATACAGACGCGTCACTTTGCTCCACCTTGCGGAAAAACATTTTGTAGTATTAGCAAAATTAGGTTGCGATATATTTATTGGGATTCCTGAAAGTGACGTAGTATGGGTATCTCGATCCTGATTGGTTGTTGAAACGAGGCATTTGTTTACCTTATCAACTGTTCTTTCCATTCTATTTCGAATAAGCAAAGTCCATCGAGTATCAATTCTCTTAAATAACACGTTATATTTTCTATTACAAAGATTCTTCCACAAAGATTTCAATTCTTTCACTGAATATTTCTTAATACAAAGACAGCAGTGAAGCCATGTAGAACATAATGAAACTAATCATGCATCAAAATTGCCAGGTACACAAAACAAAAATATATCACTGTGACAATGAAAAATATAAACAAATAATAAATCTAAGTTAAGTAAATGACGTAAAAAGGAAATAATTATATTTTAACTAATTTGATGTGCGATACGGCCTTGTAGTTAATTAATTTCACGTTAATCAACATTCTAACTTATGTTAAGAAACTTAGCTAGACTTTAAGACCCCTTCTTGTTTATAAGCAATCAGCTGGGGCTGAGATCATAGGTCACATGTCTAGGTATCAACGATCTTCTTCTTCTTGAAGTGCAAATACCCGATTCTTAGTTTAGTGAATTTTATTTAAAGTAATTTTGCCAACCACCAATATATATTTAATTCAATCTTGCGTACCATTGCTTTATAAACACCATCAGGTTGAACATCTTGCTTGAGTAACAGAACACAGAGTATATACTCTAGAGATTAGAAAACGAGTAGCAAGAGGTTCAATATAGAGTCCAACATCTTCACGCCGATGAGATGCTGAGAATATAGCATCAGGCACCTGCACCATAAGTCGATGCGGCTCCATAACGGTCTCGTGTTGTTTTCACTAGCTGTTTATGGGACTTTAGGCTGTAGAAGCAACTTCCCTTATTGCAATTCGGTGAGTAAAAATGCTGTTATCCACATGAAAATGGAGAAACACAGCAAGACAACTGTATCTGTCATAGTCTCTGTAAGCTACTGCCTAGTTGGCCTCTAACTTTTCTATGAATTGTTACCTAGAAGCCTAAATGAAAATCCTATTTTAGAGAAAAGTATGAAATCACATCTCTCATCATTAGCGAACCTTACTGAATAATTGACAACTGATGTTTGGCATACTATTTTTGTCTAACTCTTCCACAAACTTGTTGAGACTTTTTAACATAGCTTATTTTATTTATTTTATTTATTTCAAATATTTATTTCAATTTTAAATTACTTAGTTTTATACAAATACTTTTTTATACAAACACGTAGCTGTAAGAAAAATCAATTGGTTTTAGAAAACATTATGTTAATTCGGTGTCATAATCCACCTGTGCTAACAATTTCACGTTGATCATTGGATGTCTCCAATATAAAGAATTAAAAAAAAGAGTAATAAACTCCACTCCTTCTTTTACTAAAAGCTATAAGCTAGCAAACATCACTGATGTAATCCTTAAAATCTAATATATAGTATATAATTCTTTTACGTGGCTCCCAAATTTTGGTTGTATTTCTTTTCCGCCGGTGGCAATGTTTGCGTTGTTTTGTTTACGTTACTATTTCTCTTACACGGTGACAATTAAGCATACTATTAAGCTAGGACTATTAGCTACTTTGTCGATAGATCTCTATTTTAGTATTTTGTCTAAAGCGCTTTTTTTCACGAATTTATATATTACGAATTTATTTGACGATTTTTGATTTATTTCACGAATTATACTATAGCACATTTCTAATAGGTTTAACGAATTACATGTCATTTATTTGAATTCAAATTTATTTTAATGACTTAGTATTTACNCAACATCTTCACGCCGATGAGATGCTGAGAATATAGCATCAGGGACCTGCACCATAGGTCGATGCGGCTCTATAACGATCTGGTGTTGTCCTTTCTAGCTGTTTATGGGACTTTAGGTTGTAGTAACAACTTCCCTCATTGCAATTCGGTACGTAAAAATGCTGTTATCCACTTGAAAATGGAGAAACACAGCAAGACAACTGTATTTCTCATAGTCTCCGTAAGGTACTGCCTAGTTGGCCTCTAACTATTCGATGAATTGTTACCTAGAAACCTAGATAAAAAATCCTATTGAAAACCTATGGAATGTTTTGGAGAAAACTATGAATTTGCATCTCGCATCATTAGCGAACCTTACTGAATAGTTGACAACTGATGTTTGGCATACTATTTTTGCCTAACTCTTCCACAAACTTGTTGAGACTTTATAACATAGCTTATTTTATTTATTACAAATAGTGTTAATTTTAACTTACTTAGTTTTATACAAACACTTTTTTAAGGCTTAGCTATAAACAAAATCAATAAGTGGTTTTCGAAAGCATTAGTAATCCTAATTTGGTGTCATAATCCACCTGTGCTAACAATTTCACGTTAATCATTGGATGTCTCCGATATAAAGAAATTAAAAAACGGGCTATAAACTCCACTCCTCTTTTTACTAAAAGCTAGCAAACATCACTGATGTAATCCTGAAAATATTTAATAAAACTGAATCATCTATAGTTTAATTTAAAAAGACGGCTAGTTTTGAACCAATCAGAAAATTCCTTTTTTAACCCTTTGGCTACTAACAGGACTCATTTGTCCCAACAAATGTTTGAAAACTACTAATGGACAGATCTATCCCACCATTAAGTACGGTCGGGACATATATGTCCCAGTCTCTAAATTGATAACCGCTTGTCAGAAAAATCCCAAATACTAAATTTGCCTTATTTGTGACCTATTTTGTCTTTTTGAATAATAAACGGGGCAAAAAAATCATTTTTTAAAATTCGTAGTCAAAGGGTTAAAACTTCCGAATGACGGAATTAAAATTTTTGAATTAATTTTAGGATCATTTGTTGAAATTGCCCTTTTACCCTCTGTCCAAATTTTAGGTTGCTAGTGCGAAACGAAGTTACAAAAAAAAAAAAAAAAAAAAAAAANAAAAAAAAAAAAAAAAAAAAAAAAAAAAAAAAAAAAAAAAAAAAAAAAAACGACACACACAGTCACAAACTCAAAATTTCAATAAAATTTTCATTTAACAATGGTAAATTGTTTTTAGTTTATATATGGTTAATGCTTATATAAAATAACTCTTATACATTAACTTACTTCATTCATTACGACAACAAAAATTGTGAAAATATTCCTTTTTTGAACTTTAAAACTCAAATTATTCCTTCTATGTAATCTTGTATAATGAATTTATGCGATGATTTTTTTGCAATCTAATTTTTTAAATTTTTTTTAGAAGCTACATCTAGTGAGTTTTCTCCCAGTAAAGAATTTATTGCTGTCTTAAATCAATGCGATAAAGAAACTGCCACAAAGTGGAAAAATGATTTTCATGATTGCTTTCTGGGAAAGAAATATGACGATGGCGGTAGGAATTTGGAACACATTATAGATAGGTAATTTATATTAATTTCACAATAAAATTGAAATTTTGCATGCTTAATTTTTCAAAGTATTGCAGTCCGATAATTTTTTTTCTCTTTTAATTTTATGAACTAACTGAAAAAACATGTGATGAGACAATTTTTAGTTTACAGAAACTTTAGCTTTTGCAGAAACTGTTTCATACGAACCATAACAAAATTGCCTGTATATTAGGCTACAGTCCCTGGCCAAATTATTAGACGCACCAAAAGATTCTATGTAAAATCTTAATCATCAGGTGATACAGCTTTATTGTTTTTACGCGACTTAACCCTTTAACGGGCCCTTTATTTCTAATAAAGGTAAATGAAAGTATTTTTGGAATTGAAATTGTTTTAAGAACAGTAATTGATATATAAAAAACAAACACTCATTCAGTTTATAAAAATGCCATTTTTTTGGTGGTAAATATATTTAACACAACCTATTAGGAACTTACTGACTTATATTTTTCTTTATTTATAAAATAAGTTCCTTAAATGCTGCAAACTTCAAAAGGCATTATGTATTTTATAACTTTTATACGTTTTTTTAAAAGCGACAAATGGTTACCAATTTTATTCAAACTCACTTCAAGAAAGCTGAAGTTATTGAAAAATGGAAACCTAAATTAAAAGTGGTAAAACGTGGTGGTAAGTATACTTACCACGGCCTTCAAAAGGGTTAAAACGGTTTGTACTTGTTTCGTTTATGTATCAATTGGTAAAACTAGACGTGCTTTATATAAATTCTAAGATTGGATAAATTAGACGATATATTATATAAACATAGAATATTTATTATATCAGGTATTTTATTAGTATATNACTGACTTTTATTTTTCTTTATTTATAAAATAAATTCCTTAAATGCTGCAAACTTCAAAAGGCATTATGTATTTTATAACTTTAATACGTTTTTTAAAAGCGACAAATGGTTACCAATTTTATTCAAACTCACTTCAAGAAAGCTGAAAAATGGAAACCTAAATTAAAAGTGGTAAAACGTGGTGGTAAATATACTTACCGCAGCCTTCAAAAGGGTTAAAACGGTTTGTACTTGTTTCGTTCGTGTATCAATTGGTAAAACAAGACGTGCATTATATAAATTCTAAGATTGGATAAATTAGACGATATATTATATAAACATAGAATATTTATTATATCAGGTATTTTATGAGTATATTATAATAATCAAACTAAATTGTTAGACTCATTGTAGCGTTTTAATAATTGCATGTTTTGCACGAGTTTATATGCAGAACTTCTATAATTAAACATGCATGTAATGGGGTTTTATTCACAAGATTTTTTTATATACTTCCTATTTGTATTCATTTTTAATATATTGCATTACAATGTTAACCAATTAATACACGAAGGTGAACAAGTGTAAACCGGTTTCAGCAGTGTAAAAACAATAATGTTATATGGTATCGCCTGATAATTTAAATTTTACATAGGACCTAATAGTGCGTCAAATAATTTGGCTATGGACTGCTATGTTCTAAAGAGCACCGTCAGGTTGGTCGCCCAATGAGGGAGCGAGTGTGAAGCAAGAGGCATACGGGAGGCTAATTTCCATACGTTTCATTCATAAGAGCAGAGGTGATATGCGCATATTAATGCTATGACAATTCGCCACCCGTGTGCGTCACTTGCTTCCATTTTGCTTTATCACTGTATGGCCTTCAGAACAATACCATCTTAAACATGAAGTGTTGAAGGTAGAATCTATTTGTTTACTTTTTTGGCATAGTTTTCTGTAATAATACTGAAATGCAAAATTAAACATTTAATTAATATTTTTAAAGTACAATTTTTTCCAAAAAATAAAACCAAAATAGTCTTCAATATTGGCATGCCACGATAAAGGCAACCAAAAAAAAAAATTTTTTTTAAATTATTATTATTATTATTTTCATAAATATGAATGAAAAGATTTTTCATATATACATATGAAAAATATGTGCAATGATACTTTAGGTATATATGCACATTTACAGAATATTTTTTAACTAAAACATTAATAATTACGTGCATCACGTGCGTGGCGAAAATGGTAGAACTGCCCGATTGAATAAAGAAAACCTTTATAAAATTTAATAATTAAAGAAAAACTTTACAAGCTTTATTAAATTTTAAATATCTGTCAGTGTTTTAAATAATTTTAAAATATTTAATTTCTATCCGCTTTTGTTCTTTTAAGCCCAATTGCAAGGAATTCGTCTTAACATTTTCGTTGCGATATGTAAATCTTTGTTAGATTTACAAACTAATTCTATTTTAAAAAAGAGTCCATGTATGCAGACCCTAAACTAATTGTACTTTATCGCAAAAATAACTATGCAGACTCTTACGTGTGTTACATCTTATTGTTATTATAAACTTTAGTATTACTATAAACACTAAAAAAGGTGGAAATTACTTAACATCAAAAGTAATTTCCACCATTACTTTTGGGAATAAAGGAACATTCTTTTTTGTCATTACTCCACTTTTGGTATAAGGCAGTTGCCTTAAAGTACACTAAAATTCTTTACATTCCCAAGTCAAAATTTTTTTAGGTTTTCCATTGAAGGACCAACATAATCTTGATGGTAATCATCAATAATTCCGTCATGAACCATTTTTTTTTGTTGATAGTAACCAACATAAGTAACCATCACCCAAATGTAGGAATTCGGATGATGGTCCAATATAAGAATAGCAACTTGTTTTGATGGTTTGTTCATGTTGAACCATCAGATATTTCCATCATAGTTCCTTAGAAATCAAATGTTAGAATGATCATCAACAACCATCATCTCAATGTAGGAATTCCGATAAATTTATTTAGATCCAACATAAAAAAAACGTCCTAATTTAATGTTTTGATTGTATACTCCTGAAAACCAACAAGATTTCCCATTAAACTATCATGAAAATGTATAGTTGAAACCATCATGGATCATCAGGGTTTGTGGGTCCATGAGAATTAAACTTCTCCTGATGGTTAACCATAGTATTAAAGTAGCATTTTCCACCATGGTATGATGGAAGTTTCTTGGCATATCAAAAACCATGAACGCATAATGGAAAATGTTGGATGATGGTGATAATCAAATGATGTTGAATCATCATGAGTCCCGCTGGAACCAAACTAATCCATCAGAATTTTTTGATGGGACCATCAAGAATTTTGATTTGGGTAGCAAGAATTGTAATTTGTGGAAGATTTATTCGATTTTTAATTTCCAGAATCCTAACTCTGCTTTTGGTATAAAGTAGTTGCCTTAAAGTACACTAAAATTGTATAGGAGTTGTAATTTGTGGAAGCTTTATTCGATTTTTAATTTCCAGAATCCTAACTCCACTTTTGGTATAAAGTAGTTGCCTTAAAGTACACTAAAATTGTATACATAGGAGTTGTAATTTGTGGAAGCTTTATTCGGTTTTTAATTTCCAGAATCCTAACTCCGCTTTTGGTATAAAGTAGTTGCTTTAAAGCACACTAAAATTGTATACATAGGAGTTGTAATTTGTGGAAGCTTTATTCGATTTTTAATTTGCAGAATCCTAAGTCACGCGGAAGCATGCGTGGAAACTTCAGACAAAGAATGTAAACCCGATTTTGAAGATTTCAAGATGATTTTCAGTGAAGTCTTGGAGCAAATGAAGGATTATTCAAGCATGTATCTTGACGAAATATATTCTGGTAAGAGATATGTATAATTATCAGTGATTTTTCAAATGAGAAGAAACTTAATTTACTCAATCTGTTTTGAAATAATAAGGAAGTGATTATTGGCTAAACATACTATTGACTGAAAAACATTTAGAGTGGGAACAAAGTAAGGGTTAACTTTGGGCTGCTTAAGAATGAAATTATATGAAAAAAATCGTGACACATGAACAAACATGCTATAGTTTAGTTCCCCCTATTGGTCAATCCACTTTTAACTGTCGGATAGCGAGGCTTTGAGGAGAACTCCTCCAGACTGAAAGTCTGGGGCTGTTTGCTGCTATGGTAACAAGCGAGGGCACATTTCTAAGGGGGGTAAAATGGAGGAAAGAAGGTGTTGATTGGTTTACTCACGACGACCTACGCTAGGATTAAGGCATAACTATTCGCACCACACCCCTATTCGAAGTGAACTTTCCTCGTAACCATAGTACCCGCCACGACACTAGACGGGTGTCTGGAGGAGTTCTCCTGAAAGCCGCACTTTACCTTGTTAGTTTTCTATAGCATATCCATATTTTCTTCTTCTATCTGTGTTTTAACTTTTCAGAATTGAAACTATAATAGTATATAATATTCTTCTGAAACTCAGGTTATAAATAATATCATAAAGTACGATTTCTACTTATAAATATAGCTCAGGAGAAAGTTAACTCAAAAATATGGTAAAAAAAAAAGTTTTTTTTCTTCTTAATCTACTAAGTTAAACGCATTGAACTGTTTTTAATTATTGCTAAAAATTGATAAATTCTAATTTTTAGCTTTTTTTAACACATTGTAAGGAATTTTTATAGTGTATTTCTTCACATTTCAGTCTTGAAAAAAAAAATACAATGACACAAATAGTAAGATATCTTTATGGCATGAAATTGTCTGACAATTAAATTTCTATTCTTATAATTTTTAATTGTAGTTGAAAACTCCGACTGATAAAATCAAAGATATTTTGACAAAGAAAACCACGTTCTGAAGGCATATAAACAGAAAAAAAAACTCAAAATATTATTTTTTTTAATGATAAAAGTATATTAAATATCGGTCAATATAATGTACGCGGCGGGTCTGAGAAAATTTTATAAAGAATTTTTTATTTACCTTCATTTATTTTGTGCAATTTTTTCACATTTTTATAACATTAAAAATTTAAAACAAAGAATATTTTTTTATATGATTTAAGCTAAAATTTATAATATTCTCTTAAGATTTATGAAAAAATTATGTTAGTTTATATTTATTCTGAATGAAATTTTGATGAGTTTAAAAAAATAAAATACATACACCATTCAAACTGCATAAATTCTATCCCATAAGCAGAATATTTTCAAATGTTCTGCAACAGGACTATTTATACATACGTTCTGCAAGCATTTCACAGTGAAAAAAAGTCAACTTTCGTTAAAATACTATATTTTCATTTATTAAATTACGGGATCATACACAGATACACAACATTATTTTTTAAACCAAGGCAAACATTCTTGATTTGTTACTTTTTCAATCACTTTTGAAGTACAAAATTTTGTTAATGACGATGATGAATTATTAATAAAATGACTATGATATGAAGGTCCGGACATTAAAATAAGGGCTGCCTTAAATGTCTTTCGAAGGGACAAATGCCCAGATGGTGCACCATTTGCAAACACAAGCATTCGCTGGTCTGTTGTTCCAACAACTTCTTCATCTCCATCGAAAGCATTTGGTCTTTTAGAAACAATTCTGTCAATCGTGAATCCCCACGATTCACAAAATCTCAGAATTTAATTCTTTTACGGCTTGCTTCCGCAGGAAAACGCTGTCACTTATTCAAGATACAAATTGTTCTACGTTCTACAGGACTTCATTTTTTCTGCGACGAACGTAACAGTTTTAGGCTCTTTCTGCTTCTGGGGATTCTATAAACTTTTATAAATACGTATATTGTATAAAAGTTAGAATTTAGCATGTTACTTTTTCTGATGATGTAAATCTGAGTTTTGAGAACTTTAAATATGAAGTACCAGAGACATTCGGGATTCGTAGCAGGCAGCAAGTGTAATCGAACTGACCTTACCCCCTCTAAAACTATAAGCCCCCTCCCTAACGGGAACTGCTGAGCTAGAGCATTTATATTTTAACTAGAGCTCTCTGTTTAGTGACAATACAAATTATAATAGTTTCTTGACAGCTACTATCAGAATTTAATGCAAAATTATCGCTAAAATTATAATCTTTTCGGCTAGTTCAAGATTAATAAGTGCACTTAAAATTCAACTGAAGTTCTGTGGAGGATGACATCTGAAGATTTACTCGTTTTCATAACGGGACCAGCAGAATTTATCGACAATATTGTCAAACAGAAATTAGTGCTGACAGTCCAGTTTGATAACTTTCCAAATAGTTAGTTTGATTAAATTTTAACTGTATCTGATTACCGTCATATTACCATCGAATTTATTTGTGAGAAACCAAAATTCCGACCACTTCTAGATAAAAACTACGTTTTTCAAATAAACTAAATAAGTGAAAATTATTCAATTGTTTGTCAGACCAGAAACGAAAAATGTAAGGCACATCATTTTAGTATTAAACTTCTATCACCATTCGACCCATTCCCTCACACGTCTTTCAGTAATGGTGCACCCTGATACACATAAAATTATTCATTTGAAGAAACGTATAGTCTGTCTAAATAAAGAACTCCTCCCCCCACAAAGTCTGAAGGCGCCTGGTGCTATGGAAACAAGAATTTCAACTAATGAGAGACGATAATAACATTAATATTTTAAAAATTTATTTTATGATAACAACTTAAAAGATCTTAATAACGATTGACATATTAATATATATTCATATTTGAATTTGAGATTGCTTGTTAATTGATCGATATTATTCATATTTGAATTTAGGAAGAGAGAAAATAAAGGATTTAACATGTGTGGAAGACACATTATCCATGAATGGATATGAGAGATGTTTCAGGGATCTTCCAGCAGCCATAAATGAAAGTGAATATGAAATTCAAAGGTAAGCTTTATCTGTGACAAATACTTAACCTTTTAAAATCAGGCGTTACTTTAGCATAGATACAAGAACTGCACACAATATTTCATACTTTTAAATACTTCTCATCCAAAATAGCTTATGATTAGGGTGTGACAAAACTTTAAAATGATGATAGTGTCTTGCCTAAAAAAGCAGCTTTTACAAATACAATGTGGGATTGCATTTAGAAAAGAAATCGAATTTCTATGCTATAAAAGAGCGCATACTTTGAGATTGGTAATAGGACCACACACCATGTTTTGAATACCAGGTTAGCCAACTTTCTAAGCTTTTCGTAAAAATTTATTCTAGTGGTAGATATGGTTATGCTTCAATGTATTATTTTTCTAATTTGAACTTATTTTCCACACCACTATATGTAAATGATTTAAAAGTTTATATGCAACGTCACTTTATCCCAGTTGTCACGTGGTGAGGCTTTTAAATGTTGGCAAAAGTACCTAAAATTTTAAAAGCTTTGGTTTTTAAATGTCCACCACTGTATAAAATATTTTGGAAAAAGCGTAGTAGTTGGCAGGCCTGGAATACTATAATTTAATGCTGCTGATTTAGATAAAGATTTTTGTTGGCATGTTTTAAGCTCATGCTGGTTTAACACAGGTTAAAGAACATCTTAGATCTATATCCTACACATTTTATAGTATAGGGAAGATTTGTAATCTAATATAACAACTAAATATAATATAACAACTAAATATATAAATATAACAACTTAAACTGAATACTAATAGACATTACGTGATTTTTGTATTATGCGAAGATGTAAAATTGACTAACCATTTACTGTTAACTTTTTCAAAATCAAAAGAGAAAACCAAGTGATATCATGCTTACGCCAAACGCTCTGCAGCATGCGAAGGTAGCGATTTCGAATACCACAGGCATTATTTAAATAGGCTTATGCAACTTTTATATTTATAGATAGCCAGGGTGTTATGGAGGTTTTATATTGTCTTGTCCTACTCTCTTTTGTGATAAAAGTTCTTCAACTTGACTAGTATTTAAAAGGCGTTGTTGCATTGAGCACACAAATCTACATGTGTAAGTGAAAAAATATACACTCAAAATGAAAACAAACATGGTTCTGTCCGAAAGGTGTTTGGTACTTTCAATCTTTAACAGAACACGTTGCATGATACAAAAGGTTGAGCCTGTTTGCAAGATTACAAAACAAGTGGGCAGCTTTTAATTTTAAGCTCCGACCCCATGAGAGTGGATTGTTCCATTTCTTTTGCAAGTGGAAAAAGGTTGAAAATGCATGGTATTCCTTAAGCAGATGGGTTTTTTTTACACTTTTAAGGTGCTATAAACCTTTATTCTCTACACACACATTTTTTTTCTAACTTAAATTATGCGAAATTCTTAGCCACACCCGGGACAAAAAATATTTCAACAACTTAAAAAAAAAATATGAAGGAATATAATGGTATAAAAAAAATCAACACAATGAATCGAAGAGGCGAAATGCTTTTAAATGCTGTTTATTATTAGAAAAGTAATGATTCATTTTCGATTTCCAAATTCTGAAAAATAAAAGAAATTTAGTCTACTGCATTCATTTTAGTAGAATATTCCCTGCCTTTCTCTACCTGCAAAAGATAGAAAACAATCTAGTTCCATTGGCCGGGAGCTTAGGATTATAGGAACAGTACTCAACACTCATTTTGTAATCTTGCGTCTGAGACAAATATTTTTGTTGAAAACAAAACATCTAAGCAACTGTTCCTATATCGCATAGTCCACCTATGCATAAGCTATGGCTGCTTCAATGAAGGAGTGATATAAACTTATTCAGCTCATAGAGAGGGGGTTCTACTGCAGTAAAGCTTAATTTTTTTCTGCAATAAGAACAATTTGAGTCCTGATGACACAATGGTCAAGGCTCTGAACTGTCATTGTGAAAATCTGGAATTGAATCCCCAATGGCTGCTTGAACAATGATTCTTGATGATTCAATGGTTAAGACATTGAAATGTCTTTACAATGACAATTCTGTACTCCAATGAAGTAAAGGAACTTAAAAAAAAAAAGAAACTATTAGTCTTTACAAGAAGTGACTTAAAATGAAGCCAATAGGCTTTCACATATTTGACAAAAAATTCAAAATTTCTGCCAAAAAGAAAAAAAAAAATCAAATGGCACTAGTTGCTTCCAAATTGGCTAATTAGATCTAGATATATAGCAAAAACAGGTTAAAACACACACAAAAAAAATTCTAAATAATTTCTTTCTTTTATGTAATCAGTTAATAATGAGTTCTAGAATTGAATCTCCAATGGCTGCTTGAAGCCCACCCAACTGCCGATCGAGAGTACCATTTTGTTTTAACTACAAGTAGCGCCTGCGAGGGATGTGCCACAATCATGAAATTGTGAAGCCTTAACCTCCATGACCACCTGACCCACCGCAGGCTGTAACAGAAATGATTTACTTTTATAAGAACAATATAAATTTATCATAAAAATTTTAAGTATGAGAAATTACAATACGTGGGAAAAATGTTTTTCACTCTATGCCTATACGTATTTAAACAATGCATTTTAAATTACAGTGCAGTGACGAAAGGAATAAGATGCACAAATCGAGAAAACATCGAATGTAGTAAAGAAGCTAGGACCAGCCTAAATAGGATTGTTAGAACATTATTCGGAATAGAGCAACCACCTGAAGAAGATGAGATGGATGAAAAGCCAGAACCACCACCCCCTAAAATGTGGTACGATTATGTTGCGGAACCATTTGTGACAGCTTGGATGGCAGTCAAAAACTTCTTTGTAAGAACATTTGGATAATTTTACGGCTTCACAGTGTTATTACACGGGAAAATGACTCCATTTTTTTAATAAGTTTAAAGGCCTTTTTTTAAAAACTGTTCAAGAAATTCGCATCATCAAGACCAAGTGTCAATGGTTCTGCGAACATTAGATTATTCTAAAATTTTTCATTTTAGATAATATTCTTCTCATTTTTTAAAGATTTTTACAATTTTTCAGTGAATTAAAATCATGTGATGTTCAAGCTTTATAAAAAATTGTACTTGTAGTGATTTTGAAATAATTAATAAAATGTTATGTTTCATCGTTTTAATGCTAGTCTCTTCTTTCTAAATACACTCTATAACAAAAAAAATCGACGCACCAAGGAGTTGTCCGATTGAAATGAAAATTGGTGGATACGAAGACAATGTACAGAATAGTAAATGATTAAAATTTCAGAACAATTGAATAATTTATTGCAGAGTTACAGTAACAAGTTCAATAAGATGTTGACCCGCCTCTAGCCTGGATACAGGCTGCCACACGGCGTGGCATAAACCGATAATCCCGGATGGTCTCTTGCGGTATTTCCGGCCAAATTCGATCCAATTGTCGAACGAGGTCATCAACATTCCGTGCCAGATGCAATCGCCTTCCCATCATATCCCAGACATGCTCGACGGGAGAGAGATCTGGTGATCTGGCAGGCCAAGGAAGAGTTTGAAAAGCTTGCAGACAGTTCATAGCAACACGTGCCGTATGTGGTCTGGCATTGTCCTGCTGAAAAACCAGCCCAGGGCGCTGCAAAAGGAACGGTAGCAAAACAGGTCTTAGGATGCCGTCGACGTACCGCTGTGCAGTAAGTGTACCTCTAATGACGACCAAAGGGGTCCGGCTGTCAAAGGAAATCGCAACCCAGACCATAATGCCTTGTTGAGGGCCGGTGTGGCGTGAAATAGTGAAGGCAGGATCCCCCCTCTGCCTAGTGCGTCTCTAAACACGTCTTCGATGATCGTCAGGACACAGTTGGAAGCGGGATTTGTCGCTAAAGACTATACGTCCGCAGTCGGCATCATTCCAGCCTGATCGAGCGTCGATTTTGCGCGTCTTAGTGCGTCGATTTTTTTTATTATAGAGTGTAAATAAATAAAATTAAATATATATATATATACACTGGTTATCATAAATTAAGGAAAAATCACAAAAATAGCGATAACTCTTTCAAAAGTAAGCCAAACCGTGCAAAATNCTTAATTTATGATAACCAGTGTATATCACAGTCAGTGAATCGAACAGCCCTAATGTTGGGATTGTGAGTTCTAAAAATATAGTGATATCAAGTTTTACTCAATAAAAATATTGTTTCATTGTTTTAATGCTAGACTTCACAATCCAAATAATAAAATACAGCAACAGCCTTCAAGTCAAAATTATACATTGTAAAAAATAATGTGATGCCAAGTTACATACTCAATAAAAATATTGTTCCATCGTTTTAATACTAGTCTTTACATTCTACATAAATAAATAGAATGTAAATATATATAATTGCAAGTCACAGTCAGTGAATTGCAACACAGGTGATTTAAAAGCAAAGCAATAGCCTTAAAATCAGGATTGTATGCTCTAATAATAATGTGATATATTAAATACTCAATAAAAATGTAGTTAAATTTTTTTAATGCTAGTCCTTGCATTCCCAATAAATAGATGAAAATTAAAAAGAAAAAAGAATACATAACGGCCAGTCATAATCAGTGAATCGCTATGCAGAGGATTTAAAAGTAAAATAAAAGCTCATAAGTTGAAATTGCATATTCTTAAAATCGTGAGATGATCATGTTTTATGATTTTGAATCGCTCAATGTTTTCCTGCTTTAATGCTAGTCTTTATATTCCAAAGTAATAAAAAAAAATCATGCATATTCAAATATTTTAAAATAAAAAAAATAAGAAAACAAGTTTTAATCATAAATAAACACAACACTTTTTATTAAGATATACATATATCATTTAAAAATAACAACTGATACAAACAAAGTTGAAGATTTGCATTGACTAACTACTACTTCATTTTCTATTTTCTTCATATAACTAAGACTTTGTGCAGTATAGACAAAACATCAAAAACAACAACAACAACATATGAGGTACTGAAGAAAATATATAACAATTACTTATGAGGTATTTAAAAAATACATGACCACAACATGAATTCAGATAATTTAATAAGAAAAATACGTTAAGAAAGCAAATTAGTTCCTCTCAGACTTAGTATACAAAAAAAAAAAACTGAACATTTCATAAAATAATGAGAGTTCGTCAATTTTAAATCATTGCAAAACTTACAACATTTAGTGAATTCTGTCTTTAACCTATTCAGGACTGGGAGAAGGAGAAAGACCCCTTTCAAAGGGCTGCACTCTCTGATAATATATACATGCACAGGACAGGGCGATTTTTAACATTAAGTTTCATTTGAGTAAAAAATTCATATGAAATTATTATTGCATTACTATTATAGTTTGTTATCATTGATAACACCTAATTACACTCTAATAAAATGCTCAAGATAATGATATTAATAAAAAGAAAACAATTATTAAGCATATCCAAAACATACATACAGGGTACCTGCTACATTTTAGATTTTAAAATTCATGACTTACCATGATTAATTCCAAGAATTTTTCATGACTTAACGAAGTTACTATTTTCTTCGACAAAAACACAAAAATAAATTTAAAAAAGCATTATAATAACATTCATTGAAATGATGGGCATAACCAAAACTGTTATACTCTGCATCTTCAAATTTATAGATTTTAAATTTAAAAAACAGGGTAAAGAAAGAGTTGAAGCAATAAAATAGTTGAAAAAAATACAAAAGCAAAAATTTTTTTTCTGCAGAATTACATTCTAAAGATACTTTTCTTGTCCATCGGAAAAGGAAGAAATACTCCTGATTTTTCTGTTCTCATTTCGTAATAAAAAAATTCGTTAATGACTGGCTTGCTTCAGCTAGAATTTTAAATTGATAAAATAAAAAAAAGAAATAACAACAAAAATTCTGAAATTACAGAAGTTTAAAAAATAATTAGCTCTAGAAATGTTTGTTCTTTCATTTTTTTAAAGAACACCATAATTTTTAAAGAACATGATAAAAACATTTTATATTTTAATCAAATATGACTGTGTATGGGGATTTTGTTAGAAATTCAGATATACGGAACACCATGAAATTGAGGGGAGGAGGTTATATTCCATTTTAAAAACTAGATTTTTCGGGAACCTAAATCCATGACTTTTCATGATTGTTTTTAAAAAAAATAGTTAAAATCATGACAAATTTTGTTCAAAACTGAAATTCATGACTTTCCATGATTTTTCATGACTCTCCAGGTGTTCGGATACCCTGTACATATCTAGTAAAATGCTAACTGCAAATGGCGAATCCACACTCACATAAAACAATAAGCATTCCATCATTTTCTAAAAGTATAAACAAAACCCTAGAGCGCAACAATTCAAAAGCCTTATCCATTCGAAACAACGGAAGATGCACAGTTGTTTATGTGTTTAAATACCCTGGATCAAACAAAACAAAAACAAAAAAAAAATTAACCAAAAAGACATAAGATTAAACACCTGTGAGATATTATTCGAAATTTCAATGGACTTCCGCTACCATCTAGTGGCACATAAAAATTGGAATAAAACATTCCAAATCCATGTGAACACGGGCTGCTGGGGTCAGAAAGGCCCATCTCATGCATGATATGGTGGAGCTTAAGGGAGAATTGTGTCCTCAAATATCAGAGATGCCAACTGCTCCGGACACGTCAAAATAATTTTTAAAAAAACGATAATTAACTGCAAAGTAAATTTAGCAAATATTGACTATTATTGCTTGCTTTTTAAAAGGTATAGCATGACATAAGTACTATAAAGTGGTGAATTATATAAGCCTACAAATTATTTAGAAATAGTTGTGGATAAAAATCTACTAAATTGAATTTATTAAACCAAGAATCACAATTGATTATCTACCACTTTAAAATATATATTTGGTGTCCGGAGCAAGTTGGCATCTCTGAAATATATGTGATCACAATCCTGAACAGGTAAAATTAAGAGTGAGAAAATATTTTAATAAAAATGAAGTGAGTTGTTTAAAAAAGCTTCACAATAAAACTATTGAAGTTAATGGAGATACTTTTCTGACGAAATATTTCATAATAAAATCTAAATTTTATAAATCTAATTAAATGTTCCTTTTTAAAAGTTGAAAGCCTATAAAATGAAAGGAGTTAAAATTTGCATCATTGCAAACAAAGATACATATTGACTGCTTTTATTAAAACAGTATTAGGTACAAACAGTTTATTTGAACAGTTAATTTCAATTTTTCTTCTTATTACTAGACTTTGAGGAACTGTGTTGTACTATGATGGTCAGGATCAGGGGTGATTGTGCTCCGGATCCGAAAGTTTCCGGAAATCCAAAGTCCAGAAGCTTCAAAAAATCATTGATCACATTTATATATAAAAATTCTTGTATATTTTATTTAAAAAATATTAGAACTAGAATTTATACTTGGCATCCCTTTAATTTGTAAATATTTTTTCTGGTAGAATAACAAATGTGATTACAGATAAAAGTAAACCTACACATAATTATTCATTTAAATTATGCTGCATATAATTCATTTAGAATATCATGTTTTGAAAATTTCAATGACTTAAATTTATAAAGATATTAATTTTTTGAATGATTTTACTCAAGAAATTTTCAGGATTTTTGAGTTTGACCCACAATCACCCCTGTAAGATACACTTTGAATTATTTATTTTTGATGTAAAACAAATGTAAGATCTGAAAGGTATGCATATCTACAATGGAAGAGGAAGATATTTGTTTCTTTGAGTCGAAATTCATATCACACATAGTAAGAAGTGCATAATAATTTGAACTTCTTACTATGTGTGACAGTAAGAAGTGCATCAAATCATATTAGAAAAAAAAAACAGTACATAAAATAAACACTTCTCATTTTTATGATTTATCTCTCTTTTTCCATCAACTTTTAAACATCTTGTGTCGAGCATCTTTTAGGAAGGATGGTTCCTTTATCTTTATACATAAAATATGAAAGCGGTGGGGAAAAAAATATCCACGTAGTAAAAGAAGAAATGCACAACCATTTTGTTTTAAATAAATGTTTTAATACATAGCCACTTGCTGCGGCTTAGTATTAATGGGCTAAATAACTTAATTTTTGTTTTTAGTTGGCGCAAAATATTTTTTTAAATGTTGAGTAGCTTATTTTTAAAGTTTCACTGCGTTTTTTTAAAAAAATTAACCATTTTTCTTTAATAACTTTTGATAAAATTGCATCAGCAAGGCAAATTTATTCCATGCAATTTATTCAAGCATAAGTTTTGCGTGCTTAAACTTTTCAAAAATAAAAATAAAAAAAATTTTTTGAGCGAAAAAGATTGTTAAAATATTTTTGAAACTTTTACGCAAGGTAACAATCAAAATATACAAGTTATATTAGTTTATAATAAAAAAAAATTTATGTTAGATTCTTATGTTCAAATTATATTATTTTAAAAATAAGTTATTATAATAAACCATAATACTCTTAATATAACCACACACAAAATTTTCTTATTATCTAGAGAATGTTATGTACACTACTGTCAAAGTATAAGTTAGTTTTTTAAAGGAATCTGTATAAATTTATCTGTTATGTTCATTTTCAATGTTAAGTAGTTCAGTTAAAACTCATTATATTTATTTTATTAGACAAAGACTTATATATTAAAAAAATTACCAATTTAAAAACATAAATCTGTAATAATGTCTTAAAGTGAAATAATAAAAAGAAATTCTAAGAAACGAAAATATAACTAAATACTAACGAAAAAAACTATATGCAATTAGACTAAAAACTAAGAAAAATGCATTAACAGATTCATAAGAATTTTCATGTTTAATAAACAGCAATATAACTTTCACATTTTAACATAAATAAGTCAACTTTGTAATATAAAACAACATCTATTAATGATGAATCTTTTAATGGAATGGATTTTATCTATTAATGATGGAATGTATCAAGAAGGGGTAAGATAAAATGTTTGAGTAAAAAATTTCCAGATAAATATAATAAAATGTTAACTAAAAATCTTTAAGTAGATTTTGACATTGCAAGACTTAGTGGCAAAAATATGAAAAGGCAAATATAGATGATATATTGTATCAGATATGCCAATTTACCATCAAATATGAAACTATCTTTTTATTATGAATCTAAGTTGATAGTGAAATTATTAATAATTATTAATGCAATTATATTATTTTTTATTGTTATTCATGGGAAATTAAGACAAAGATAGGATGCTTGTTGACAATATATTGAGGCTGTAACATGTAAAATATTGTAAAAGGTTCTAAAAAATGAAATTCATTTAATTTGCATTAAAAACATTTAAAACTATTGCATCACATTTTTTATATATATGTTCATGTACACTTACTACACCGTAAACTCCTGGTCATTTCTCTTGTGATGTACATGTGGTCTGATTTTACAAAATTTTGCATGCACCAAATAGTTAAGTAAATTTTAAAAACTTTATTAGCAGAGATTAAAATTAACGATAATCTGTTGGTCCAAGACCACTTTAGTTTAATGACTCTGAGCATCATGAAACAATAATCAATAGTCCTGTGAACTAAAGACCAAACAACTCTAAAGGGATTTTAGGTCGCATGAAAATTTCACAGTTATTGGAACAGGGAATAATTTTAGTTCTTCTCTGTTTTGCCCATGCATTATTGAAGAGAAGAAAGATAAGCATGACTTCCAAGCATCTAATGAATTACCAACTTCTCTGCAGAAGGGAGATAAAGTAAGACAAGAAAATTTAGGTTTATAACATCATTTTCAGAAAACTGTCATGATTATCTAAATATTGCCCAATTAACCAATGAACTCTTCCGGGAAGCTTATGTTACTTTTTTTCACTGACCCACATTATAACTTGTCCAAAATGTTTACTGCTATCCCCTATTTTTAACAGTCTAATTTGATAACTATTGTCAATGATAAACGTTCTAGAGAAATGAGGAGAGTTCTTTAGTTAGAGAGGCAGTACATTTCTGTTTTGATTCATGCAAGCTTTATATTTATTTCTTTTTCTTTTTTTTTCTTTCAAATCTACTCCATCTATTTTCTTCATGTGAGATTCTGCCCCAGAATATTTTACAGATATAATTAGATTTTGCCTTAGGATATTTTGCCGGCCAGTCAAACTTTATAAGTATTGTCAATGATAGTTGTTCCAGACAAATGGCAAGGAGAGTTCTTTAATTAGAGAGACAGTACATTTCGGTTTTGATTAATGCAAGCTTTATATTCATTTTTCATTTTTTTCCCTAGAATCTGCTCTATCTATGAGTATTTTCTTCATGTGAGATTCTGCTCCAGAATATTTTATACATATGATCAGATTCTGCCTTAGGATATTCTGTCTTCATGAGTCTGTATTCTATGGTATTTAAATATATATCTCATTATCTTTCTTCATTTTTTTGGAAAATAATGTTCTTTTTTGCCTTGGCAAAACACCAATTACAAATAATAGGGAAACTAACTTAATCAGATCAAACATATAAGAATGAAAATCTTATGACCATTTAGTGGATTAACTGCAGAATAGGCCAATTTTCTGCTGTCACCCCACACAGTTCTCTTGATAATCAGGCATTTTCTGTATTTCAATTCAAAACATGCTTTAAAAACTAAAAGTGCAACATAAAAATGAAAATAGAAAAGTGCTATAGTTAAATGCAATACATATTATGAGAAAAACTTCATAATATATCTTACAAAAGATCTGTTAACAATATACATGTATTAACTCCAAAGTGCAAAAGCAAAATGTGCAAAAATCACATAATATTAAATCCATACTAACATGGAACATGTAATAACATTATTTACACTTTAATGTTTCATTTATCACAGAAAGAAAGTTGTAAAGTAACTTATGCCACAGTTCAGGATCGCTCTTGTAAGCAGTGTGACTGCCGTTTGGAATTTCAGCTCCTTGACTATTTGGCAAAAAACACAACTTAGCAGAATTTTCTCCTCGATCTTTCTCACCAAATACAACTAAAGTTGGTACCTGGTAATGAAAATAAAGATTAATTTTATAATAACAGGAGTTTTTTTCTGAAAAAGTAAATATTTAATCGATCAGAGCGATATTAGAAAACAGATGAATTTTAGAAACAAGTAATATTAAAAAAAAATTTTTGAGTCAATACCTACTTAGGTCAATGAAGAAAAATTTTATTATAGTTACTTTTTAATAAATAATTAAAAAATTTTCTTCATATAAAACTACAATTAATTAAATAAATTTAATTACAGAATTAATATTTGAAAAACTGTATTAACATCAAGCGTCATCCACCACAAGTTTAAAAAAATGTATTTGAACTTGAGTATATGAACAAAAAGTTTTTATTAACGATTGAAAATTTGAACAAGATACATAAATATATATAGAAAGACTGTGAACTAATAGTAGGAATCGATAAAAAAAAGGCGCATTGTATTAGACAACAATAAAAGTATAAATTTGGTGAAGTGGACCACACATGCTACCACATAATGTTTTTTATTGAATTTATCTGACACAGCGAATAAAAAATAATTAAATATTTATATGTGTGCAATAAACTATTTTCCTTTGTTCAAACTGAGCTATAAGTTAGAAATTATCACTCATGTAATCTTTAAAATATGTAAAAAACTGAGTCGCTCATAGAAAAATTTCAAACAATGACTAACGCTTAACCAATCAGAAAATTTCCTTTTGTTTTCCACTTCATTTTTAAAAAAGTAAAATAGGTTTCAGATGAAACTTACTCAGACAGATGGTAAAAATATTACTTAATAAACAGGATTTAAAGAATAATTTTTGCCAAAAATTTTACATTGAAACAAGAACACCAGTTATTAAAATATTCATTTCTGAAACATAATAATGCTATAATGCTTCATATTTTTAGAGTTGCCACTCAAATCTCGAAAAAAAATTCCCAGTGTTTTCCCTGTACATATTATACACAATATATTAAGAGAAAACGCGACAATTACTGTGCTTTTGTGTGAGCTATATTTAGCTATTATACTAGTTTTAATTGCTGGACAAGTAACAGCTGAACAAACTTTAATAATGCTATAAGTAAATGAAATAGTTTAGTGCAGCTGAAATATCATCCTTAAATATCCCATACACTACGCTGTAAATGGTCACCATTTTTTAAAAAACAAATATAAGATACAAAATTCCCTGTATTTTCAGTTTGTAAAGAAAAAAAAAAAATTCCTTGTATTTTCAGTTTGTAAAGGAAAAAAAAAAATTCACGGTATTTTCCAGGTTTTCCTGTTCTCCTGTGGAGTGACAACCCTGATTTTGCACTGTAAATTTTTTAGGATTGCTTATTTGACTGAACATTAACAACGCCTAAAAACCTGTTATTTTTCCACCCATGTTCCCCTCTTTGCATTCTTAAAGTTGTGTATTTCTATATCAATCTGAAATGCTATTTTCATTTCAAACTACTAAAATGTGAAATATTTGGTCGTATTAACAACATTAAAATAATTTGTTTCACGTCTTAAAATCTTATCATTTGAATAATGCGCTCACCATTAAGTACAGTAAATAAAGAGGAAATAATTTGCTTGATTTAACCCTGCTAATTTTAAAAATGTTCTCCTTTTATATAGATATAAATTTAAATAATTATATTAAACTACTCTATTTCAAACTTAAATTTACAATCATGTATTACACTGACATGTGATGCAACTAGAATGAAAATTAATGAAATGGTACAGTAATTAGCTTGCATACTTTTTTGAGATATTAATGAATAAGCATATAAAACTACTGAAAACACACACAAGACAAACACATATCCCACAAGAATTTCTGAACATAGTAAAAATACTGAAAAATCATATGTCTGATTAAGTTTAAATAAACATTATTATCACTACAATTTTTATTTTTTTTAGGTCATGTTTTGAACAGTTTTGCACAGTTTAAGCAAAAAATTTGAACCATTTTTGCACTACTTTTAAATAAATGAAAGCAGTTATTTTATTTAATTAAAATAAATAATTAAACAAAATTATAAAATTAAGAGAAATAGTTCAATTTATGTAATTAATTTCTTTTCTTGCATTTTTTTAAAAAGCATAAGAATTACAGGATGGTTATGTAATATACTGATAATTATATCACTCTGTTAAGTTTAAAAAAAAATTATAAAGTTGTAGAGCAATTATCTAAGCTGCATTTGGCTTATGTATACTTACATTTCAATAATGATCATATTATCTTTTAAACCTAACAATCTTACATTGATTATAAAAATAAACCTTTTTTAAGGATTCAATTGATTTTAAACCAATAAATAGAAATACCATGATTTGTAGGGTTCATACCAGCTATGAAAGCTTAATGGTCCAATAAGACCACCTAGTTATTCATTCAGTGTTCCCAAAAAATTAATGTGGTAGACAAACTCAAGAAAAAATAACTTCAAAACTACGTAATTAATTTCACGGTACACATCAAAAATTATTAATTGCCATCTATAACACCCTAAAACTAATTAGGTTCATTAACCCAAAATGATTAAAGATTAGTGCTTAGTAAAATCAAGTGTAAAAAAGCTAAAATAATATTAGTAAATGGATTCAAAACAGAGATTAAAATGCTGAGACCAAAGAAACAAAGTACATGAATGCAAAGCACAGTACAACATGTAAGTTTGAAATTTCAACATTTAAATGTAAACATTTTTGTATCAGGCACTTTCTGCTATTCCATTTAAATTTCATACCACACATAGAACAATAAAATTAGAATAACAAATTTTTTTTAAGTGCATGGAATTCGATGCAACAAAAAAAAAATAATTGAGAATTCCAAACATATTTTAAGGCAACAAATTTGTTGCCCATGCATGTAATTTTAGCGACATTTCTAGAACATTTGGCGACAATTGTCGTCATGAACCTTAATAATTTGTAAAATGAAATGCTTCTGAAGATTATCTTTCCAGGTTATTTTGAAACAAGTATTAAATTAAATAACAGGTAATTAATTGCTTGCCTTTATACAACTCAAATCTGGAGGTTGTTTTTTCAAGTAACCTTTAATTCTTTCACAGTCTTCACTCAAAGATGTTTTGTACACATTTTCACCATTTTTGCATGAACTTTTGTCCAGAATGTTTATACCCACAGGTGCAACTGGTACAAATCCAGCAAGTTTGTCAGAATGTTCCAAGAGATACGGCAATGAGAAGGAACCACTCATGCTCGGACTAATGATCACGGGATTCTTCAGGTTCAGTGTTTTGATGACACTGTCCAAAAACTCCCCTCTGTTCAGGTTTTCAATGGCTGGACTCTTACCATATTCTGTGATATAAAGATATTAATTAATAAATAAAAAAAATCAAATATTTTTAAAAAACACTTACAAGCACAACACACCATTTTTATCTCTTCACAATATATATGTATATTAATGCTGTATAATAACTAAAATCTAATGTTTCATCAGTTAAAAAATTTCCGAAATTATTGCTCAAAACATTCATATGAAATTCGGAGTAATTCTTATGTAATTTGGAGACTTCTTTCTTCAATTTTAAAGTATATTTCCTAGAATATGAAAAGTTAAATGACTTGAGAAGGCTGGAAGAAATCACTTTAAATGCTTATCCTGCTACTCATGCATACTTAAATTTTAATTACATAAATTGTGAAATATTAAGCTCACAAAACTTTTTTTTTTCCCTTTTTTTGCAACTTGAATTCTGCTGTAAAAATTAAAAATTTAAAAAAAAATTTAAACATAGGTTAAAAATTTTTTAATAGAATTTAAAAAAAAAAAACATTTTTCAGCTATTTTCACTGAAAAAAAAAGACCTCAATAGATTTCTTTTCTGGAAGGGAAACGGAAATAAACTAGAAAGATTGAATAGTCATGCAATCTACACAAGAAAAGAAAAAACAAGCAAACAGTAGTATGTGATCTTTAAATATTTTTTATTATTATTATATTTTTTTTGTGTGTGCATTTTTCCCAAACAAGAGAAATACACTTTCCTAGTCACGATCATTCTTTCTCCATCATGTTAATTGCCATTTATTAAATGTTGTTCTAAACTGGATTTTAATACTAACTTAGCTCAAAACTACATAATATTAATTAATATTATTGTCATTACACATAAAAGCAATGGTAATTTGCTTTGAAATGTTTAGGTAATTAAGTTATTAATCATGTGTTTCCCTTTAAAAAAAAAGAAGAAAAAAACAAGATGTGAAAAATATATTAGCAAATTAAAAATGGTGTTTCAATAATGAGTCAATGACATCTAAAAAAAATTGTATTTACTTAATCTCTTTAAAATAAAAAATTTCTATAATAATTAAGGGAAACAAATTGTATGATTACAAATATGAAAAATTGGAAGTCTTAGCTTTGTAATATTAGTCTAAAATAGGTGAGTAGCATTTAAAATAGTTACACAATTCAGGAAAGCAATTCAGAACTCTACTTGAAATACATCACTGCAATTGTAGACAACGTGTATCAAATCAGCAGAGGTAATTGTGGGCCCAACTTAAAAATCCCAAAAATTTCTTGAGTAAAATCATTCAAAAAATTAATATCTTCATAAATTTAATCATTAAATTTTCAAAACATGATATTTTAAATGAATTATATACAGCATAATTGAAATGAATAATTATGTGTAAGTTTACTTTTATCTCTAATCACATTTATTATTCTACCAGAAAAAATATTTACAAATGAAAGAGATGCCAAATATAAATTCTATTTCAAATATTTTTAAATAAAATACACAAGAACTTTTATATATAAATGTGATCAAAGATCTCTTGAAACTTCTGGACTTTGGATTTCCGGAAACTTTCGGATCGAGGTTAGCGAAAAATCTGGAAATTCGGATTTTTTCACCTCTGAAATCATCAAACTGTGATAATGGGATTGTTGATATTTCTTTTTCCAATATTTCTTTTATTTAATTACCTTATATACCAGTGTTCAAGACAACTCCTTATTTTTGATAAGGGATAGGAAATTTACTGGTCGGTAGAGAGTATAAGTCGATGATTATTCCTATACACGTCATGTGTAAAATAATACTAAGTGTGTGGCAAAATGTGGATTCAAAAGTTATTATAAAATATTTTATTAAGTGTGGTGGTTGAAGACAATTTTTTGCAGGACTGAGGATGAAGTAGAATAATTACAGATTGGGATCCATATAACAACACTGATAACGTTATTGAATCCTGCACAGATGATGTTGTGGAATCAACATTTGTAACTTCATGGTATGTTTTAAAAGTTTTCATAGTGATACTTTTTTAAATACTCTTAAATAAACTATTTTAGCTTTTATAATTTCTGAACATAATTCAAGGTATTGTTCCTAAAACAAATCCTTTATATGTAAGGAAAATACAGTGAGAGAAAATGCAAAATTAATTGCCTATAACATAATAAAAATAGTTTTTGAAATGGGTGATTTTTGAAGGAAAATTGATAAATTGTTATTTATTTTTATCTCATTGTTTATAATGCATCAGTATTTCTTGATTATCGAATATCTGATTTTATTGCTGGTGTATAAGTCAACCTACTGTTTTTCATAATATTTTGGGGGTTTGAAATTTGACTTATACACTGGGATATATAATACTTTTAAACATATAGTTCAAATGGTTAAATATATAGTTTAAATGGCTAAATATATAGATCAAATGGCTTAAATATAATACAGGGTGCGTAGTCAAATCTTTCTACAAAAAATAAGCACCTTTTAAGTACTTTTTAAGCAATCAAAAAGTATTTTTAAGCATTATAGGCATTAGCAAAATGGAAAATAATTTTCAAAGACTTTACATGATCATGATAAAATAACTAGTTTCTGACAAGGAACTCTTTTCTGGATTATATTAGCCACCATAAAAGGATCGAGATATTTTTTGGTTCGATTTCAGAGGGTATGAAGTGAAGCCTGAAATTGAGAATATCTTGCAAAATGCAGCAGAGTTGCACATGAGAAGGCAATAGTCTCACCGAACCCAGCTCAGTAAACGCACATACAGACTCCCAAGTATTTCAGCAAACATGTAAAATGATTGGCGCTTTCATACGCTATGGACCAATGGTAGGCCGAAATGAATTGTGAAAACATTGAATAGAACAATGTGAAAAGCACGCTTCTGCATAATACGTGGCGAAAATCGACATGGTAACAAAAAAAATCTCATTTTTGAAAAGAGAAAATTAAACATTTTTTAAAATTACATCCAATTACATTAAAAACATCCAATGACAAAAGCACCTTTAAGGGCTTTTAAATAACGAAAATTGAAAATAAGTACCATTAAGCAGCACTTTTTAAAAACGCTACGCACCATGTAATATATGTGTCGAAAAGGGCTTTAGGGTAAAGTTTTTTAATTTTGTCTAATTTATCCACAAAACAATGCATAGGATTACAAGCTGAACAAAATGGAGGTGGAAAGTCGTTGACAGCGTTATGTCCTAATCTCTACCGAAAAATAAATCTTTCTATCTCTTTTGTGAAGAAGGCACTAGCAGTAGGTTTGTGTGTTGTTGGAAAAGGTGCTACAGGTATATTTGCAAGTTTATGGAAAAAAGAGTTCTATAATAGATATGATGACATTTAACAATATAAAGATGGGACACTTCATATTACATACTTATTCAATTCAAAAAAGAAATAACTTGCATAATGGATTGCAAACAGGTAAAATGACAAAAGACATTTACTTTTCTCTAAAGTTTTCCTATATTCTGAATATTATTCTTATTAAATAATAGAACAGTTGCACAGTCAAATTACATGATGGTAAGGAATAAGATTCAAATTGTTAATTAATTTTTAAAACTAATAATATAATTTAGTTTATATAAAATATAAGATTGATAAAAGCAAATATTTTAAATTCTTATACTTAGATACTGTTTTGCTTAACCAGATTGCAATAGAGTGCAACATAAACTAAAATTTTTTATCACAATGGAATAACAATACTAATACAGTAAATCTTTCAGTCATTAATTCATTTTTCCCTATTTTTGTACAGTATCATTTTTTTAATAGAGACTTTACTTCCATAACATGCAAATAACATTCACTTCCCTGACTTCACTTAAAACCTTTCACAAGAAGTTCAGAGCAGATTAATTGAAAAAATATATATATATGTGCAGTAAAGTTTTAAGATGGAATAATCTTACTGCAAAGTACTTGGCATACATAATAATAAATACAGAAGCACTAGTAAAATAATTTACTTTGATGTAAAACATACTTGGTAAATCAATGGCAACAGGATGAAAACCAAATGCAGCAATATTTTGAATGGTATTAAGTTTTCTCCAAATATCAGATGTAAATGCTTGGCCGTGAAGTAATAAAACTGACACATCCTTCTTCATAGCAGGATTTGGATGAACAGCGTAGAGATAGTGTATTTTTGTATTCTGAAATTCAAGCAAAACATTAAATAATAAACACAAATTAGTAAATATAATATTATAATCAACATCAGATTATAAAAGAATAATTAGAAAGATGATTAAAACAACATTGTTTCTTTTAATGTTCTTCGAATGGCTGAACAATTAGTTTTTACTAAGAAAAATAAAGATGATTATAATTTAGGTAATAAACATAATTTCATTCAAATATTTAATTGTGAAGATTTTTATTAACAATATTTAAAATTAAATAATTTATGCTAGTGGCGTTGTCTTTCAAATCAAGAGTTGCTATACAAATCTGAATTCTCATGATACCTAAAAGAAAAGTTAATCCTAACATTTTTTAGACACTATGCAGATAAAAATAAAAGAATTAAAAGTTAAAAATCAAGAATTCAAATAATGCAAAAAAGCATAAAAATAAAAATTAATTTCACACTGTTATAAATAACTTATTAATTATGCATTAAAAGTAATATACAATGTATAAGTATATCAATATTCTTTTACATTAAGTTATTGGGTGTGGAATTAATTAAGTAAATGTCTGATACCTTCATATTTTTGGAAGAAATCAAGGAAAATTAAAAAATTTTAAAATTTGGGGTAAAAAATACCCTGAGCTCTTCTTTCAAATGCTGAAACAATTTTTGGTACTTAATTATTTTAAGAGGTTTTAAAAAAAATCTTCAAACTATTATTGACAGGAATGAAAATTAATTGTTGTAAAAGCTACCTGTTAAGCTACCTGTTATGCTTATATGAGTAGTGTGGTAACAGGTTCCTTAAGAGAATGAACACGATGATTCCCCTCTCAATGCCAGCAGCTAATGCTTTTTCAACGGGAGCTTCATTTGCAAATAAATTTTTTGCATTTTGATATTTTGAAAAATTTTTTCAGTATTTGAAACTTCATTTTTTACTCTAATTTTCTGTGTATTCACTTTCTTTTTAACTATAAAATTTAAATTATTAATGGAGTTGAAACATCGGTAATCGAGTGATCTTCTAAAAATCCGTAATCCGTAATTTAAATCAAAATTCATTCAGTTAATCCTTATTTTTATCATATATCACAAATTTAAGCAGTTTTTGTGTAAGGATGAGATAGTTGATTTCATATAAAGAGTACAAAGTAAAAGATTTTCGGAAGAAAAATTACAATTTTAAGCTTAATTTAATAGATATTTAAACAGATTAAAATGTAGATGAACAACCTCTAAAATGTGATCCTAATTATTTTTACACCAAACCTCGTAAATAGATATAACTAATCTTTAAAGCAGTTATTTTAGTCTAATACACTAATCCTACATCAATGAATACCATAAAGCATCAATCCAATGTTTTTAATGTGGCCTTTTATGCTGAACAATAGATATGGGCAAATCAAAGAATGGGAATCAACATAAAATATCATTTAATGACTTGAAAATGTGTGCAATGTAATAGAGTAATGCTAGAAAAATTGATAAATTAGAAAATTAATGAGCATAAAAATTAAAATATTTTCTTATTCTAAAAATATTTACAATGCAAAAGAAAGATGAATAAACACATATTTTTTTTAAAAAATATTTGGAAATTTTGACTGGAACCTACTTTTTTCTACTCAGTGCAAACAATTTTTGACATTTGTAATAGATAGTAGCCATTTATTTTCTGTAAGTTTCTGTGAACACAGAAAGTTTCTAGTCATTTCAAAGGCTTCAAGGCCTTCTGAAAATATTGGCACTGGTTGCACGTTTTACCCTTTTCAACCTATCATTTTGGACTTTTTCAGTTTCTCAATCACTTAAACCAACAATTTTTCACATTATCATAAACTGATGCAAAAATTGAGGTGTTATTCCAAAACAATAACAAATCTTAATTTTCTTTTCCGTCAGTAGTATCAGGAGTTGCAGTTTTTTCTTCTTCTTCTTAAATCATTATAATTTAAATTTTTATTTCTACTATCAGTAGAATTTCTGAAGGATAGACACAGTAATAACTAGTTTCAAAAATGATAAAAACCGGTAATATTTACATTATAACAATAGCATTTACAATAAGACTATTAAAATCAAACGATTCAAAATGATCAACCAAACGATTCAAAACGATAGACCAAATGATCAAGGAACCAAACCAAACGATCGAGGTTTGACTGAAATGTTTTTTTTTTTTTTTTTTTACAAAATATTTCTTAATTTTTAATTTTTTTTCAAATGGCAGGCACTGATCATTATTCTTCGCCTTAGAAAATGCCAGAATTGTTACTCATTTCACGTTACCCAAGGGGCACCTGTGAAACAAAGTCACGGAGGCGAGCAACATTACCCACGCCACAAACCCATTTATAGGGTGGACCACATTCACACACAACAGAGGACGAGAGAAACAACCATGCCCAAAGTGGGATGCAAGCCCACAGCCAATGGCTTCACAGTCAGGCGAGCTAACCGCTCGGCCACCTGACTGGCTTTAAAAAAATATAATAAAAATAATGGAGAAAATGAAGAAGTACAAATAAAATAACAGATCAACAATAGACTTTCAACACATAAATTTAACTAGTTATACCTGTATAGTGGCAAAATCAGAATGTACAGCAATTTGAGGTACAGTTTTGTTCACAGAACTTGGAATATCTCTCTGTAAGTCAACATGTTTCCAAAAATCTGGACTCAGTTTTTGGCCATATGTCTTGCATTTCACAACTTCTTCTGACATAATTAGATTCTGATCATCTGATGGAAGTTTCATGGAAGGAGATGTATACATAAGAATTCCTACACCAACCCAAACCAAAAATATTAAACCAGAAATAATCATCAACTTGCGACCTGCAAATAAAAACAAGGACAAAAGCTGAAAATTTAGCATTATTAAGAACTTCAGAAACAATTATGAGAAATGCAGCATGCAAATAAAAACATATTGAAAAATGAAAATACAGTCAAACCCCGCTATAGTGAACTTTCAAGGGACCGAAATTTCGGTTCACTATAACCGGGAGTTCACTATATCCGTTACGCAGGCAATTTCACTAATAAGTTCCCCCTAACTCCTCCCTTTTATTACATTATATTCATATAAATGACTGAAAAATATTATGTAGTAGCAGAAAATTTGTTACTTTTCAGCACTCTTCGTCTTGCGTACAAATAAAAATTAGTAATCTTTAGCTGATGAGCAATCCTCAACATCAGATATGGAAACACTTCCCCACTCTCAGATAATTTTTCCTGAATTTCTGTTATTCCGCTTTTTAAACCTGTCTAACCTGCCATTCGAGCAGCACATAAAAGAAGTTTCTATAGATGGTTTCAAAAATCTAAAAATCGGTATATGTATTTATTATGAAGTAGAAATTTCAAAATTATTACAAAGAAAATGGGGAGGGGGGGAATCAGTCGAAGACAGAAAAAAGTTCATTATATCCAACTTCCTCACTTTTTTGGTTCACTATATCCACAAAAAATAACATTGTACTTGTATAGCAGGGCATGGGACCGAGCATTTCGTTCACTATATCCGGGAGTTCACTATAAGCCGCGTTCACTATAGCGGGGTTTGACTGTATTGTCAAGTAATTACAAGAAAAAATTTATTAGAACTTTTACACAATTTGGAAAAAAGAATTAGTTAATTAAGGAAAAAAAATCAAGCTAAAAAAATTATAAGCAAAAAATTAAAGGAAAATAGAAGAATTTCTAATCAATTTGTGGCTTATACACAAAAGCAAATAAAAAAAGAAATCAAAAGTAAAAAGTTTTGATTGCTGAAAAACACATAGACCCGAAATTCACAACTTTTTTGCTTATATCAAACCATACTAACTAAAAGCACTATGTTGGGGACAAATGCGAGTATAATGGAAACATTAGTAGTTTTCGGTTAACCGGGTGTTATTAAATCCAACAATTTTTTCATTTCATCAAATTCTTATGTTTTTATCAAGACATTATATATTTCTTAATAATAATTAAAATTGTTAAAACACCAAATCGTTAACTTAGAGGGGGGCTATTTTGGTTCATAAGAAATGCGATAGAAAGAAGTACAAATTATAAAGCAAAAATATTTATAAATCGCTTAAAAGCATTGAGGTTGAAACTTTGCCAAAATCTTCAATGTTCTTCAATCTTCAATCAAATTCGTTCTGCATTTGCAGAACAAAATAGCAAATTATAAAATAAATTTCTTAAATTGACTGCTTATTAGTAAAATAAGGGATATTTTTATATTGTAATCCTTTGCAACAACTAGTATCGGCGCCAAATGAATTTTTAAATTGCAAATATAAAAAAAAATGTATAGGTAAAGGATTATCCAGGAGTGACTACGGGAGAGATTTCCGTATCCTGATCTGCGGCAGAATAATCGCCAAGTCTTGGTAACTTCTAGGCAGCAGCCAGCGAGAAACTACACAAAAAAACATCATAGAAAGGGACCAACTCGAAATGTATAACTCATAGTCGCCCCCGGGCCAACATCTACACTTTTTTAAAAAGAAAAATTTCAAGTTCAAAATCTATTTGGCGCCTTGGCGATTGTAGTTGGCGCAACAGATCACGATACGGATATACCCCTGACTACATGTCGAGTTGGTCTCTTTCTGCAATTTTTTTTTTTTTTTTTTTAATAGTTCTTTACGCTTGCCTGCCTTGAAGTTCCCAAAATTTAGTGATTATTCTGGCACAGATCACAATATGTAAATCTTGCTATAAAAAATAATTTTTAATAGTAAGCAATCATTTTACCTAAAACTAGTAATTGTTTGTTTTATAATTCACTAATTTTTAAACAAGCATGGAACATAATTATTTAAAGACTGAAATAAGAAGTAAAAATAAAGACTGAGCCTAAAGCTCCAAAAAGAAAAACATACATTCCCTAATTTAATTATTTAAAAAATATATGAGCATAAAGGGCAATGTAATTTCTTTTCATAAATGTCTAAGTTAACATTGCATTCATTAAAAGACATAAAATAAACTTATTACAAAATGATAATATAATAATGCAATGGCATAACTTAGCAAATATATGTATACATTAGATATAGATAAAAATACATTAACTACAACCAAACACTTTTGCTCCTTAAATTAGTAACGAGCACTTATAAATGACAATTATATTTTTCTTATGAAAAAAATACATTATAAAGCAATCTAAAAAAATTTGTCTGCAAGTAATATACAGATCAAGATACGTAAATATCCCCTAAAAAATGGTAGAATTTAAGCAGCTGAATATTTTTCTTACAAAATTATTGCAATTCATAGATTATCTAGCTATTTTTATTTTGTTTTAATACTAGCTACCTGTTGAAATCATACTTACTAGACACCATTTTGAATAAGAGTAATTTTACAAAGTAATCTTATTTGCCACAAAAATCTGGATTCTTAAGTTTGGAAAAATAAGAATTCAATACAGATGTTGAACTTAATCATTGTATCACTTCGTGAGAAACTCATTTTATTTTTAAAATTAGATTCGGCTCTCCAGAACAATCAACAGCTGTTAAAATAGTGATTTATTTATTTACACTTTTCTCACTTTTGATTGCCAGATGCATTTTATGATGATCTTGCAAAATTAAAAATTCACCATTGAGTTTATGAGAAGATTGTAGATGCGTCACAGGTTGCATTGCTAGACAGCATTGAGCAAATACTTTATCTCAGCATTATTTTTTCTACTATAAGATTGTTTGCAAAATTTATGAAACAAAATTCAAAATAGCATTTTCCTTTGCAATTTTTTTAACGCTCAAATACGCCATCTGGGGAGAATACCAGTTCCATGTTTTGGCTCCCCCAATTCCTTCTCTTTTCGGTTCTATAGAAATATACTACAATATGTTCCCCCATAGTATTTTTGTATTTAATAGACAAAACTGTTTTTTAAAATTTCCGTGACATTTTTTGAAACTATGTTTATTGTAGTTTTCAGTTCCATATAGTTTTCTAACTTAAATGTTTTCAATCTATTTGAAAATCAACACAGAAACTAATGTACTTCCTTCTCCTATGACTCTCCACACGCTAATGGGGAAAGCATGCAAAGTGTTGCCATAGGTTGAGAGTTCTGCTCTACACCACCTTCAGCCCATTTTGATTACAACGCACTCCCCCATCCTTTATCATTTTTTTTAAAACTCTTGTATAAATATTGATTTGTGACCCCAAAGTTTATAATTTCATAGATTATTTATGATAATGATTCTAAAAATACATATTATGGTCTACACAGATGACTCAACATTTCCTTTAAATTAAAAAAAAGTTTTTTTTAAATAAATACGATTAACTTAAACCCTCTATATTTTTGCAATTTTGCATCCATGCACGGCAGCAAAAAGGCTGTTGCTTGGCTGACCGCTTTTTTAATAAATAGAGGCATTTGATTGGTCGATTACATCATCGTTTTCATCGTTATCGCTTAATCGTTTTGTCAGGTTTACTAGAATGGCGCTTTTAGCATTTTTGCTTGGCAGAATTTTAATAACGCGCATGCTCAGTTTGATAATTTATTTAAACCAATCGAAGTACTTCGTAGACAATGAATATANAAAAATGTTTTTTAAAATTTCCGTGACATTTTTTGAAACTATGTTTATTGTAGTTTTCAGCTCCATATAGTTTTCTAACTTAAATGTTTTCAATCTATTTGAAAATCAACACAGAAACTAATGTACTTCCTTCTCCTATGACTCTCCACATGCTAATGGGGAAAGCATGCAAAGTGTTGCCATTGGTTGAGAGTTCTGCTCTACACCACCTTTAGCCCATTTTGATTACAACGCACTCCCCTATCCTTTATCATTTTTTTTTTTAAAACTCTTGTATAAATATTGATTTGTGACCCCAATGCTTATAATTTCATAGATCATTTATGATAATGATTCTAAAAATACATATTATGGTCTACACAGATGACTCAACATTTCCCTTAAATTAAAAGAAAGTTTTTTTTAGATAAATACGATTAACTTAAACCCTCTATATTTTTGCAATTTTCCATCCATGCACGGCAGCAAAAAAAAAAATCCTCTTGCTATAAATAGATGTGCACTGCCATTTTTTCAGGCAGAAATTTTCTAATATATCGACTTCTTTTTGCACCTGAAAGGATCAAAAGTGCTACCCACGTGGTTTAGTACGACCTTCCATTTTAGAGATCTTTCTATCATAACATTCAATGCATAAATTCCCGTTTGGTATTCTATAAACATTTAAACAATATTTAATTTAGAATTAAAAATTTCAACGAAATTATTCAAAGCATTATTTCCTTTGATGTTACCACACAATAAATGTAAGTAGTTTGAAATCCCCTTTGAATGTAGAAAGAGTGATATGGTCCCCTAAGTCCTAGGTTATCGTAATCTATGGTCCTTCATAATTTGTGCAACTTTAGTTTCAAAGAATACAATTCAATACAAGCAATTTGTCCCCTTTAATAATATTTTGCGATCTTTTTGCGAAATATTTTGCGAATTGTAATTTGTCCCCATGCCTTTATTTTCGAGTTAAAACGCAGTTACCTTGATGCATGTTGACCCGGACCAACATATTATTTTTAATGCTTTTTGCACCAAAAAGGCACTATTTTAAAGGATATTATGTAGAAAACAGTTGCATTCTTATAACTTTTTCTGTTAATTACCAAATTGTTTTTTAAGTAAAGTATTGCTTTTTAAAATCGGTCAAGTATTTTTTTAGTAATGTGTAATATTTAAGGAATTTTTATGCATTCATGACCTCGCGCTGAAGCATACGTTTTCATAATCGAGAATCGTTTAATCGAATGTTTTTTTATTTTTTTTTTTTATTTTATAGAAATTACATTTTAATAAATTCTTAAGGTCTTATTTCGTTCGCAGTTGCTTAGTTCCTGCTTAATTGGGTTAGTATCTTACCTCATCTTCCTTTGGTTTTCTTAACTGGCTGGAATTCGATTGGTTTTTCAAATTTGAGGTAGTAATGTTCAGCCGAAATGACTTAGTGGTTAAGACACTGAGTTCTTATAACGTAGAACTGCGGTTCGATCACCACTGGTTGCTTCAAGTCGACCCAGCTTTACACCGATGGGTTCCAGCTTGTATTATAGATAAAGGAGATCTGTGTGCGATCCTGACAGTATTGTGAGAGTCACCCATTATTTACAAAACTGTTTATCCTTAACTTCCATGACCCCCTAGGCCAGCAGTGGAATGTCAAAGGAATACTTTACTTTAATTTTGAAAGATTTTTTTAATCCCGAATTTGGCGCAGTATGATTGCACCCTGTTCTGATGATACGTTATTCTACAATCAATTTGTTGCCAAACAATTTGTTGAAAAAAAAAAAGGGGAAAAAAAATAAAGCTATTGATGGCTAACACACCACAACTGTTTTAGAATAATATATTTTTTTTTATCGGATTTGAGTGATTAAGTATTATATGTTTGTTAATTAATAAATGAATTATTTTTTATCCATAACTAAGAGGAAAAACAATGAAGGAATTTTTTTTCTTCTAAAAATGTCCACCTTTTGTTTACCTTTTTTATGAAGGATAGTATCTTGACCCCTTTCGAAATAAAATCTTGATGAGCCACGGGGAGTTAGAATAGAAAATTTCAATTACTAAGTCCTCAGCTCTGTGTACATTGTGCAAAAACTAAATAAATTAATAACTCTTTGATTAACTTTTGATCTATTGATTGTATTTTAGCATGCTATGACTCAATCTTAACGATTCGAGATTGAGAGAATAACCTCCGATGTGCTTATTAATTACTGCAGATTAGTGCAGTTCATTACATTTCCAAAATCCGATTCCTTAGTAACATTCCGATTCTTAGAAACGGATTCTTAGAATTCTCCGATTCGGATTCTCTGATTTCTTAGAAACGGAGCTATAGTAGTATTTTCGTATGCCGACAGATGAAATTGAAACCAGAAATACACTCCCGAAAACGAAAGTAAAATAGTTTTTGTTATGCTTTGAGTATTTTAACCTTTTTTTTATTTGAATGAATTATATTTTAAAGACAAGTAAAATATATTTTCAGAAATTAATATTTTGAATTATGTATTAATTTTCATAGTGTTCTTAGGATTTTCTGAATTTTCAAAATTTTCATGCATTTTAATTGAATTTTCTGAAGAACATTGACTTCCAGAAAATTTCTTTGCGCTAACACGCATTGCATCAAAAAAAAGTTTATAATAGAATTCCTTTAAATTTTGTAAGTAGATTTTATATAATCTTTGCAATTTTAAGGTCTAATTGTGAAGATGTTATTTTTTTTAATCAAGATTTAAGTAAGAATATTTATAATTTTTTTGTTTAAATTTTACATTAAACAATATATTTATTTCCATTTCATTGTACGTTAAACTTTTTTAAGACTCATAACACAGGTAATGACATTATTGATCTAGAAAAAAAAATTTTTTTTTTGAAATTTATGCATTGGAATTATTATTATTTGTTGTTGAGCTATTAGCGAACATGAAACATTTGTAGTCTGTGAGTTCAAATTTGCGCTTATTTCGAAAAATAGTTTATAAATTTTAAAATAATAAATAAATAAATAAAGGGATACAATAAAGTTAACTAAGCCTTTAATCTGACACAAAAACGTACTTTATCTGAAAAAACATATTTTTTTGTCGACGGATTCAGATTTCTGAGTCTTAAAATATACGTGGAGGGGGGGTGGGAGTTGTAATCTGGAAAAATGACCCCAATAGTTTGGTCAGGAGAACGGTCGAAAGTTTGAAACCCATAATATTAATTTTACGGTTTGCTTTTATCGCTATATCTCAAAAAGATTTTAAGCGAATTGAAAAATTTTTGCACTCAATTACAAAATTCATTTATTCAAAAATAATTCGAAGCAAAATAAATAAATAAATTTTTTATTATTCATAATTTTTTGTTGTTTCACTTAATAATAATTCAAAAAAAATGTGAGCTGTGAAGAATACCAATTTTTACATCATTTTTAAGGATATAATTTTAAAGGGCGAAATATAATGTTCGAACGAAATCGGTTGTTCTTGAGAAATAGAGATTAAAAAAATTCAAATATATAAAATTCGATTTTTTAGTAATTATTCGACCGATTACGTTAAAATTTCGCATTTCGCCATATAAAATAACATTCTTTAAAATTATGGAAAAAATTGTAAACCTTAGAATTCATAATTTTTTTGACTATTATTACATAAAATAATAAAAATATAAATAATTATAAAAACCTGCTTTTTGCTTGGATTTATCTTTGGTCATACAACTTTTAAAATTAGGGGCAAAAAGTTTTCAATTCATTTAAAAAATTTTTGAGACATGGTGAAATAAGTAAAAAATAAATAATAAAAATATAAACAATTATAAAAAGCTGCTTTTTGCTTGGATTTATCTTTGGACATACAACTTTTAAAATTAGGGGCAAAAAGTTTTCAATTCGTTTAAAAAATTCTTGAGACATGGCGAAATAAGTAAAAAATAAATAATAAAAATATAAACAATTATAAAAAGCTGCTTTTTGCTTGGATTTATCTTTGGACATACAACTTTTAAAA